ACAAATGCGTCTATGGTCGGTGTATTTGTGATCTTTCCAATCGAGACGAGATCAATGTACACGAGTGTGTCGCTCCAGTCAAGCAGCTTGAGAAAGACAACTCCTTCCTAATGTCTAAAGTTGATGACTTGGAGAACCGGAGCCGACGTTCTAACCTTCGCTTCGTAGGAATTCATACTATCTGTGTAGATTTACTTGAGCTGTGGTCAACGGATATGATTGGTTAGTTGTAGTGATGTGAGTGTGTTGTGTTGTGAAGAACCTGTGTTTGTGCTGGTGTCTAAGGTTATTCTCTAAGGTGTTTAGGTTGTATCCATCTTGATATATACTATTATAACTAAGCTTTGGTTGTGTGGCTGAGTTGTGTGTGTGGTAATGGAAATACGTCACCTACTTACGCTAGCGTGTAAAGGTGTATGTGTGTGTGGATGTGTGGTGACTTGTGATAGTGCTCGCGGCTGTGGGTTCTGTCCAAACTTGTTTAGTCTGTGTTCACCCTAATGGTGACTTCGGGTGTGTGTGTTAGTGGTTGTGATGTTTGTGTTGGTTGTGTGTGGTGGTGTGTGTGGTGTGGGTGTTGGTGGGTGTGTGTGTGTTGTGTGTGATGTGTGTGTTGTGGTGGTTTATGAGTGTTGAGGTTGTTGATAGTGTATCCATACGTCTTTTTTGTGGCGTTTAAAAATTACTTAGGGAGACTAATATAGATATGTTTGTGTAGGTGATATGCACAGAGAACGTGTGTTATATGTAGGTGCGCGTGATATTTACTTTGTAAGTAGTGTAAAGAGTGATCATTAATTATACAATGTAAATTACTAAGACACTATTTCGAGATTTGATTACTTGAGGCATGGTTTGTCACATCTAATCTGTATGGTAGACTTATGTTTATCTTATGTTTTTGAGTCAACCTCAATTATCTTCTAACATGATAATAGTGTTTTGGGTTTGATATGTAAGCGACTTTTTTAGATTTTGTGTTGATTCGTTTCTCATTATTTACGTTAGTTACTACATTCCTATGTGTAATTATGTATTCGCTTTACGGTTTTTCTTTTTATGTTAATATAACGCGTTTCTGTTTGCCTTGATTTGAAGTTCCTCATGTGTGACCTTAGATGTATGTGTGGCTCATGTTGATCGTTGTGTGTGCTGTCTAGGATTAGATAGTGTGTAATGAGTGTGTGCTGTGTAGTGTGTGTAGTGTGGATTGTGTGACTTAAATTGATTTAGTTTTTCGCTAAATCTATATATCGGTCCTGTTAACTAAAGATCTGCGTCTCTTAGGAGTAGTACTTTCTATTCTAGGTTCTCTTTAACTTAGTTGTTCTCTGATATTTGTAAATAATCATTTTTAAGTATATTTCAGGGTATATTATTCTGATGTTCTTAATAAACCCTCAATGGTGAGCTCCAATAATGAGGTGTGAAAGCTTTTCTCTTGTACTTTATTGAATATGTGTGTGATTTTGGGAGTCTTTTCTTTTACTTGTGTGAAGGGTGTAGTCGATATCAGTAAACTTACTGTCTATTATTATGCTTCGTTACGAATATAGAGAAAGGTAATTTCTTCTTGTATTCTACTCAAAGTCTTTACTTGTTCCCTCTTACATTACTGCGTAAACTGCGGTAATTGGCAAGAGTGTCCACGTACTAAAAGTAACTGTTAGTCACTCCGTATGAATACGTCTTTAGGGTTCGTTATGAACATGTTTTTCTTCATAAAGCGTACTTTAGAACAGGTTAATTTTCTTCCTGTTGTTGTAGTATATTACTTTATTTTTTCTAGTGTAAGTAACAAAATATAACTAGACTACTCACTGATCAAAAACCTCCATCCTAATGAATATCAATAAAATACTAAAAAGCGTATGTCGTATTATTTTTGTAACTTACTAGCGCTTCGTAAGGCTTGTAATTTGGTGGGTCAAAAAATATTCTTAAGACAGTCTTCCACACTTGTCGTGTCATATTTGCTAAGTCAGTTGCGTCGTCTATCCCCTTAAGACTCTCACTTTTGCTCAACCAAGAGTAATTATGATTAGCGTGGACAAATGTAGTTAGAGATCTGAGTGACCTTTTCAAAAAAGAGAGATTAGCTGCTCTCTAACTTTAAATAGCAGTTTTGGTTAAAACAACTTTAGTGTTCGTTTACCTAATAATAGTAAAAGGCTGTCCTTTATCCCTATACTTCATTCAGTCATTGTTATATATATACCTACCAAGTATTCTGATGACGTTCCACTTCTTCCACGATTATTACTAATGACGATGGTAGTCATTCGTATAATAAAAAGTACTTTTAGCGTACAGTTTACGTCTCCGATGATTGCCTTCATTCGTAATTCGAGGAGACTAGTGTGTCCTTAGTCTCCTCTGTGTATTTATGTGTGGTGGAGGTGGGTCGTGGTACGACGTTAGATATGTCTAGACATTTGCGTTTTTATTTATACTATCTAAAGATTTCAAGTGTATTAGCCTGTTTATCAATTGATGATCCTGGTTTCATTAATGTCTCTCGACTTCTACAAAATCTCAAATTCATCATTTTGTTGGGTTTAGAGCTTCTATTTTTAGTAAAAAACGCCGCGTTATCTGAAGCGACGTTATAAGGTTTACTTACTAAAAATATCAGGAGAATATTAAATAGTGTCCAGATCCTTTTATTATTCGTTTATTTATCAAGGTGGACGAGTGTTAACAATGTCGTATGTACTACTATATCAGTAGACTACATTGTTCTGACGTTTCATATGTGTGTGTAAATTCATTCTCTGTCTGATATATGTTTGTAATTTGGTGTTTTCTTTTTTATTTCTTTGTTTTTTTGTTGAAATTTCGTCGTCGGGGTCGTCTTGGGACTGTGTTAGCGGTCTCGTATATTGTATCTATGTTTTGAATTTGTATTATTTATTAAAAAAAAGTTTTTTTTTGGTCTCGAGCTCAGACGAATTGCTTCTCCTTATTTGCTTCTAGTATCAGGTCTTTATGTAGGTTTCTTGGTCCGTCCTTGCGTTGTGTTTGTAATAAAATGTTTGTTATATTCGGTGCGTAGCCCCCGTCATATTCACTTATCAATAATTCACCCCGACATTTGCACTTGGTTCTTCTTCTTCACTGGCAGTTACAAGTGACATTTTGTACATTTGTTTGTTGTGTTGACTTTCTCGGTCCCGCCCACCGGGTGGCAATATAATTCAATATTTATTTTGTGTTCTCTCACAGTTGTTGTAGAGTCGTCAGTATCTGGGCAGGCATTTGTCCAGAGACTAAAATCTTCTTCTACTCTTGTTTTTAATTTTTCCTCTCTTCTCTTCCTTGTCGAATCGACCCGTGTAGTTCACCTAGTTGTACGATGGCTAATCTTCGTCGGACTTAGAGACCCTATCAAGCTATTGACTGTGGCGGTAGTGTCTTTTCCTTCTCAATACTCCATATTCAAGTGTACTTCTAATCGGTAGGCGCATGAATACACCCATCTCTTCGAACAACACACGGTAGTTGTGTTGCGTCGTCCCCACTTGCCCATCTCCATTTATTTTCATTGAAGTAGTAGCAATCTTCCAAGGTGTTCCTCGAAGCGCTAAACTGACCTAGACTTCGAGTTGCCGCAGAATAGACCTATTTCGAGCCCCTGACTTAGCCCATATATAAGTATCTATCACTCATAATTAGGCGCAACATCAATGGTCTTCTGAAAAAGAGGGACCGTTTGACTTCTGCTTCCTATCAAGGAATATATATACGGCGACCTTCAAGTCGTCGAAGGCTAGTACTACCGGGCCGCCGACCGTGCCCTCAGATATACGGACCCGTCAGCATACTCGCCACACGGAGAGTATCAAGTACGTCCAAATCCCTTCGTAGTACCGGGTCTCTTCCGACTCTCCTTACTCGGCTTCTGTGCTTCGGCTATTACATGACGAAGTCNACCTGTGCAATAATCATGCTGTCTAATCAGCATCTTGATAAACCACACCTGTGAGGTGGGATGGATTATCTCGGCAAAGGAGAAGTGCTCACTATCACAGATTTTTTCAGATTTGTGAACAATATTTGAGAGAAATGATTATTTTGTGTATATAGAAAATGTTTTAGATCTTTGAGTTCATCTCAGGAAAAATGGGAGCGAAAACAAAGGTGTTGCATTTATATTTTTGTTCAGTATATATATATATATATATATATATATATACTTAACTAACGGAGCTGTAAAAGTATCCGTGCATCTTACGTGCCGTTTCTGGTTTCGTTCTCTTCTATCTAACTCACGCGAGAACAGCATAACGAGACGTGAGCTTGGACTTCAAAATAAAAGGCTAAATATTGCACGCATGAAATATTACAACAAATAATTATTATTACACTTAGAAAATACATATTGCAGTTAAATTGTGAACATGTAAAGGCTACACTTACAGAGATGTCCTGCCACTTAGTCTATCATGCACAATCTTTTGGAGTGCTAGCCAATATCAGCGTGTGTGTTACATGGTGATGTCACTATGTTACAAAAGGAAACAAATGAGTCCAATGGGGGTGTTTCAGGCCGGGGGGGGAGTATGTGGGAGAGAAACTCCCTCTGGAGGGAAAACATGGATTTAAGCCTTTGCAGACCATTTACATGCACAACAACCTATAGAACACACTGCAGGAAAGGGAAAGACCCAAAAGCGTAATAGGGCCCCTTTTTAAAGGCAGTAAATCCTCTTTCACTTGTATGTCCTTGACTTAAGAACACATATAGAACTTCATCAGCTAGAAGTCACGCAGTTAGAGGTCCATTGGAGTTTAATTTACATTTAATTGCCCTAATAGTGTTTCAGGAGTTTTACCTCTAACAGAATATCTTGAGGGAAGTGGCATCATATCATCTCATTTTGGCATTAAAACTGTCACATAAGAACTGGCACTACATGTTCAATCTGATTCAATCCAAGTGTACCTGCCAAATGATAGAATCTACCGGAGAGACTCAATCTGCAGTTGTTATTCCACAGGCCCGGCTGAGGGAGATAGGCAAGCTGGATCAGTGTCTGCAGACTGCAGTGAGGGGGGGAGACCTGCAGGCCATGCAGGCAGTGTGTGTTACCCAGTGGAGCTGCTGTCTGCCCCTCCTGCAGCACAACCTCAAGAAACGCATACAGAGCCCTCTGCTCAGGGTCTCCCATGTTCTGGAAGACATGCAAAGGTTGCTATTTTCTTTCTTTAATTACCTCGTGATATATTTGGTGTGTATGTCAACGTCTGTCTTGATAACTGAAAAATCAAAGCTGAAAATGTGCTAAAGCTGGAAGGCAGAAAGCAAAGCTTATTAGATCCTCCAGAAAAACGCGGGCAAAAATCCTTGATTATGCGGGCTAAAATCCTTGATTATGCGGGCTAAAATCCTTCATTATGCGATTAAACATGCAGGGTTTTTATGTGATTTTATGCGGTGAAATTGCGGGAAGTTGCGAAATATGCGGAAAGTCTTTTTAAATATTGGGCTGTCTTATTTATTCTCTCTCACAAACAACCTGCCACTAACGTTAAACCCCTTTCCTATTCAATTAAACACATTCAATGTTTATTTATTGTAAAAGCAATTAGGCTATTTCAATCACACTCTCTCTCTCTCTCTCTCACACACACACACACACTTCTCCGCCTCATTCTGTTTTCATTTACTCGTTCGTTATCTGACCAGCTTCAATCTTGTAGGCTACTCACTTCGTTTCTTGTAGCCCTCGAAAGGGTTTTGGATGTTGATGCCTCGGTGAACGTGAGTTGTTTGGCTTTCTTGTCCGCAGCAGCAGAAAGCATTTTCGAATGTTTGAATCATAGACTGTATATATGAATTTTGGTTTGAATGAATCAAAGTGGGTCGTCACCGTCGATTTTCTCTAAGACTTATGCTCCAACACACAGTTGCAGTGTGAGTTCCACACGTTCACTCTACGGTGTTGTTTACCTTCTGTGATGCACGAGTTGATGACGTCGCGTCATCATCATCACTACTTCACGTCAAGACGAGTTAACTTTTTTTTTTCTCAACTTTGTGTGGAAAAATGCGGGGATTATGCAGCCTTTTGATAAATATGCGGCCTTTTAAAAATCTGTGCCATTTTGCTGATTATGCGGTAAATTCTGCGTTCGCAGAATCGTGTTTTTCTGGAGGGTCTAGCTTATACAAAAATGGCCATCCTTTTAGTTATGCAATTACATCAATGACCTCCCTTATGGAGAATTAACTACAAACTTGATAAATAAGTTTCAAAATGTATTAAAACATTTATTTCAAATCTCAAGGTAAGAATTTAGTTATGTACTAGGACTGAATAAATAAAAAAAGTAGAATATGAAGGACATACAAAAGTACATATGCAGATCACAATACAACCTTTCATCATTTTTTCAATCTTGATTTAAGTTTTAATATATTGCAATAAATTATATAAATCTAATGTTGAAACCCTTTTATGACCCTGTTTTAATATAGGTCTTTTATAATATAGCTCAGTTTGTTTTAATGCAGTAATGTATAGTTTTGATCATATTAAATTGTTTTTGGAGGTAATGCAGATTTATAGTTTTTTAGGGAAATGCATTTTACATTTGGATCAAGGGAAATGCAACACTAATGATAAATAGTAAGAACCAGTCATATTGATTGTCAGGCTCCTTTACTCCTTTTGTTACAATAATGCAATAAAGAGCCAACATTATGGTATTTGGTATAAGATCAACATTATGTCCTCATTTGATCTCCCAATTTGGAATTTTGGTATCAGACATATTTCCATTGATTTATAATATATTAGTGCACTGCTTGTTATATCTGCAGTATGTTGCTGGAGATGCGCTGTCAGGTCCACTCAGAGCTGGCGGTGATTGAAGAGGAGGACGGGCGCCTTGAGGCTTCTTTGACTCATCTTCAGAAAGCCATGCTGCTGGATAACGGGACACAACAACAACGCCTGTCGTCAGCTGTCCGCCTCCTGCAGCTCAGAGGGACCCTCTACCAGACGCCCTCCCGGGCCGAGGATAAAGCCGCTATGCTTATGCAGCAGGTTTTTAACCCCCCTTGTCAGGCGGTGATAACATTACATAATGAAAAAGCTCTTTGAACTTAACAAGGCAAAAACGTGCTTGGATGAGTTTTTGGTGTTAAACTGATAATGTTACTCATATGCAGTGGGGTTTAATGAGAGATCATTTACTTCTGAAATCCAATCCGCTCATCTCTTCCTCAGGCCAGGGACATGCAGCTCCAAGACAGGACAGACGTTCGTCCCATCCTGGTCGCTGTGGGTCTCCTTTTGGCCCCTGATGATTTCCAGATAGTGCTGGATGCTGACAACACTTCCAAAAGTACAGATTTCTATTCCTTCTATTTCTAGAGTGGTGCTGGAATGATTTTTAAAACCCGGAAGTTAGTCAGCATTTTACCACCACTGTTTCTCTCGTGTGTCGTTTTTTGGTTAGATGCCCTAAAAAAGGTATGAGTCAGTAAATACCCCACTGGTGAATGTCTGAAGCTTCTATGTGTCATTAAAACGATGGTTGCTTACAAGGTAAAAGAAGATTACATAACGTCATCACAGCATAGATTAGCCGCCTTTAGCTTAGCGATAGATGCGACCATGATGTATTTAGTTTGAGCGTTAAGCATCGTAACATTCATTCTAAGAAAGAAATCCCCTTGCATTTTGTTGAGGGAGCTCTGCCAATATCCAGCAACTTCGCACAGCCATTGAAGAGGAGTGGACCAACATTCCACAGGCCACAATCAACAACCTGATCAACTCTATGCGAAGGAGATGGGTGACATGTTAGGGTTAGGGTTTAACCCTAGGGTTTTCGGACCCCCCCAGACCCCCCCAATAAAGCAAAACTGCACGTTTCAGAGTGGCCTTTTATTGTGGCCAGCCGAAGGCACACCTGTGCAATAATCATGCTGTCTAATCAGCATCTTGATAAACCACACCTGTGAGGTGGGATGGATTATCTCGGCAAAGGAGAAGTGCTCACTATCACAGATTTTTTCAGATTTGTGAACAATATTTGAGAGAAATGATTATTTTGTGTATATAGAAAATGTTTTAGATCTTTGAGTTCATCTCAGGAAAAATGGGAGCGAAAACAAAGGTGTTGCATTTTACAAGGTAAAAGAAGATTACATAACGTCATCACAGCATAGATTAGCCGCCTTTAGCTTAGCGATAGATGCGACCATGATGTATTTAGTTTGAGCGTTAAGCATCGTAACATTCATTCTAAGAAAGAAATCCCCTTGCATTTTGTTGAGGGAGCTCTTACAACGCTTACTTTGAGGACAGCCTGCAAAAATCCGCCATCACTGCACCACTCTTTTCTAGGGCATTGCTAGGACTGCTGAATTGAAATAGTCATCCACTACTCCCAAAAAGTATTTCAATAGTCGATTATTGGTGATAGATGAATTAGCAGAGTCTTCAATTATCTGTGTAAGGCCCTTCTTAAATGCTCTGTGATCTGATTAGACAAAACCCTCAGGCGACTTGTCAGTGCTGGAGATACAGTTTGACTTCAGTAACAACGTGACTCTTTTTCTAGAGGGATTGCAGGAGTATTGCCTTCTCCTATTACCCTGAATTCAGTTTATTTAACATGGCATGAAAAAAAGATTCAAATGAATTAATGTTCAACAACAAGACGCTACATCGCCTCTACAACCACCCCAATGGTGTGCCTCAAACATCTTCTAATGCCCTCAGGGTACTGCCAAAAGGTTAGATTACATTTAATCTACAATAAATGTACTCAAGCATTCCCACAAATAACAACACAAATAAAATTAAAATGCATAATTTCAATGACAAGTAATATTTCAGTATCACCATGCCAATCACAACATCATCAGGGTGACAGTCCATGTTTTGTCACTGTTATAAAGTCGGGTTATGACAAATGAAAGAGTGATTTTGGAGACAACCCTGCAACAGTAAAAGCTCCAAAGTATGTGGTGAGCAAAAATGGATTTACAATTTACCTTACAGTCAATGACAAATCACATTTTGACAGTCTATATTTTTCTCAGTTTTTTCATCATGTCTGTTTTTTACATTAACTTGCGAAGGTGGTCCAATCTTTTAACAATCAAAAATGGGCCTTAAGTTGAATCACACATCTATAATAATTACAAATCATTTGGATTTCATAATTCTTAGGTAAGATATGACGAGGCAGTTATGAAGTAACTGCCCAGGGCTTCATTATGGCGAGCACTGGTGTTTTTTTGCTACTTATGCTTGGAAATTTGGTCGAGTGAAAAATGGCTTTAGGCTAGTAATGTTAAGATAACATAAGATTTTGACAAGACATGTACAGTACCTTTTCTCCACCTGCTAAACCAGCTGCTCGGTTCCACTTAGCTCTCTTTCCATCTCTCCTTCTCTGCCGTCTTTGCACTTGTTTTTTTCAAATTTTCTTTGATGATTATGGTTAACGATAATGTTTTTTAAAAATGCGTACAGATCAGTAGATGCATAATTGACTAATGAATAATTTGCACCTGAATGCTCCAAAAAGGCAGTGCTCAGGTGATTGTGTAATGGGCTGCTCTCAGTAAAGCAGGTGCTGATTACATGCAGATTGATTTATTGATTCTTTGTGTGGCTATAGAGACAGACCATTCATTGAGAGAAATAACATTTAAAGACTTATTTCTAACATGGTCTTACAGTATACTGTATACATAATCCTTAATACAAAGAGCAACACAAAAAAAGGTAACTATTATAAATATAAAAAAAACATTGATTAACATTTTATTTTATTTTCATTTCAAACCTTTATTTATGCAGGTGAATCCCATTGAGATCATTGATCTCTTTTTCAAGGGAGACCTGCTGCAAATATTCCAAGTGTCCTAGAAGCATTTCGTAATGTAAAAAAGCATTAAAATAGACGCATTACAAGCAGTAACATCGTTAATAATCTATAAAACATTTTGTATTATAAAACAAATCTACAGTAATAAGATAAAAAAGAAACCACACGCCCAAGACCTGCCTGATTGTGAATGCAAATTTAATAAAAAAACCCTGAAGTGCACTCTCGTATATAAATGTGTTCCCTGGCCTTCAAGTCTGGCCAGAAGGTCTTAAAACCTTGTGTTGGATGTCACTATGACAATCTATCAGTCAAATTCTTTTTTTACAGCCCAATATCACAAATTGTGCATTTGTCTCAGGGGGCTTTACAGTGTGTACAGCATATGACAGCAACTGTCACTACACCCTTGTAGCATACAAGAAAGAACTCCCAAAGAAATGATATAATTAATGAGAGAAGAATTGAAGAAACCTTGGGTAGAGCAACAGAGGAGGGATATCCCGTGATGGACAGACGAGCAATACATGTCAAATGTATAGATTAAAATAGATCATCCAATACCAGTCAAAGGATTTAAATGATGATATGAATTCAAGATTCAAAGACTCAAAAGCTTTATTGTCATATGCACAGTCGCTACAGTTTAGATATGGCAATTCAAATCTTATGTCCCAGGCTCCTCCAACAATGCAACAGAAATACAAAAACAATAAATGTTTTCCAATTTGCCAAATAAAGGGAGAGGGAGAGCTTTGAATCCTTGTTCATGTTATGTATAATAGCTATAAAGAATGTTTATACAATTAAAATTGATCCATATGGACAAAAATCTTCCAGGTGCTCTCAAAAAATAATAAGGTGGATGAGACGAGGTAAGAGATAAAAGGTGAAGGTCACCCGACAGTCTTAGCCCATAGCTGCATACCTAGGGGCGGATTCAAGGTAAGCCTGAGCCAGCCCTAACTATAAGCTGTATGTGTTCCAGTGTAGCTCACAGCAAAGCCCCATCGATTGTGTGTAGTTCATCATGTGGCAGAGTCTGAACTCAGAGTGTCTCTGATCTCAGACGGTATCAAATGAACATCCTGCAGTCTAATGAACCAGGAAAGAGCTGGCCTCAGCCTTTTGACAGCTATGCAGGGGCTTCTACTGCAGGCATTGGTTAAAGCTTTGGTAGAGGCACCTTTTTGTTTTTCTTCTATAAACCTCAAGCGTCCCCTAGTGCCGGTCCGCGGAGGTGTTACTGCCGGGCCGCAAAATAGCTGTGAGTTTATCATAATATTTGCAGAATTATAAATATATAAAAATATTTTATCATAATGTTTTTTTCAATAAATGTTCGCACCTATACCAGTTATGTTATGTATACTAGCCATGAAATAGATCAAATGTATATCTTTACTAACAGTATACAGGGTTTCCCACACATAGACTTTACTTGGGCGGGCCGCCCATGTATTTTAACGGCCGCCAAAGTATATTTCACGACCCATTTTTTTTTTGTCTGCGAGCACGACGCCATCTGCGATCAATTAACTAGTGGACAATGGTCCCTCGCTCTACGCCCCCTTTACCTGTTTGCTCTGATATTGCTTGAAGGGTCTGCTAACAAGCGACCAGCAGAAAGGTTAATGTTGTTGCACGTCACAAAGCCAGCCCCCCCCCCGCTAACACCACAAGTATATTTCAGATCTGTGGGAAACACTGGTATAAATATAGATCCACTTGTGTATTCAATGATCATCTAGTTCCCTCGGGCTGCGTTGGATCTGGAGCAGTGGCTCAGCTCTGTGCTAAGGCTCAGCATCACTCAACATCTGTGAGGAAGGTGGACAGATACCTGGCCAGACAAGGAGATGACACAAACAACACAGAGAGGTGAGTGTATTTTAACATGTGTTCATTGTGAATATAACTGTACAAACACAACACATAGCTTTGACTTATCATATTGAGCTATCAGGCTTCCTAAGAATCCAGTTTGAAAATAGCCAATAGAATCACCCTTTAAATATTAAGAAGCCCCCAGACGCTGTCTCCTGCAGTGACGCGCTTTTCCCCCCGGTATCTGGGGGCCCGGGCTTAAGAGGTTAAAGCCTTGTTGGATATATCGCTCCTCGCTGTTACTGAACATTATATACTAATGGATGTTTGATCTATTGCTGTTTAAGTTGTTGTGACATTTTTACAACCTTTTATTTCATCTCCTTATTCATAGCGCATATTTGAATTCTCCCTGTCTATGAGTATCAGGACATCAGAAATTGCAGGCTTTATGGTCAGGAAGGAGCAGAGACTTGATTCCCCAAAGGACACGATTATTTTTTCATGGCCCTTCAAACAAACAATCATTATTTGCAGTGTGTCTCCGTGCTTTTGCCCTGATATCCACCTTTATAAAAGAGGACAAATGATGCTCATCTTCAGGTTCATATTAGTATTAGTTATTATATTAGAAATTCCCTGTGGAGGGAACACAGGTATTTTAGCCTTTGAGACCATTTACATGCACACAAACCTATAGAACACACTACAGGAGAGGGAAAACTCAAATGGGAATATTAGGGCCTCTTTAATAGAAATGGTCTCTAAGTGTTCTTTATTTATGCTCTAGGGTAAAGTTGTGGGCTACACTGGTGAAGACGGCCAGGAAACAGGACGTTTGGGATGTGTGCCGAGCTGCTTGTCGATTCTGTTTGCTTTACGACGATGGGAGATGGAAGATTTCCAAGACTCACAGTAAGATTATCAATGATCCTAAGACTGAGGGTAGAACGACCGAGTTATTCCTCTAATATTAGAATCCTTGACAGACAGTCATGTTTGCATTAGCACAAAAAAGGAGATAATTGCTTTCAATGTGGGATTTAACTTCACAGATTTTGTCAATTTAATCCAGAATGTAGATGCTCCGAGGAAGAAAGCTGTGCAGAATGTCTTCAAGGTTGTAATAGAAGCCAAACATGCGTGAGGGACTTGCTGCGCCTGTTGGCTGATATCCACTTCATCAGTGCCGAGGTGTGTATCTTCTAATACACTCATACACAGCGCATTTTCAACTGTATTATGTTTTCAGATGGCTCTTCTAGAAATATCTTACTGCTGGAAATTCTTTAAATTAGCACTCTCCGACTCATGGATTACTGATTATAATTCAATGGTCAAATGTCAAGGTCACTGTGACCTCACAAAACACTTGTTCGGCCATAACTAGGGATGCTCAGGAGATGATCAGGAGAGCCGATCACACAACGTAAAATACATGACACTTTTCTCTGTGCGCGGCAAAACAAGCTCGCCAAAATGTCTTCACCAGTCTGGCAGTATTTTAAGGTGTCCGAAAAAGACAATAAAATAGCGGTATGCAACGTGTGCGAAGCAGAAATCCCTCTTGGTGGAACGCAACAACGACAATTTAATACCACAAATCTTATTAGACATTTGAGAGTTTGTCACGTCAAAGTATACGGCGAGTATGAAAGGCAAGCCAGCGCCAAGTCAGTAAAAACTCTGTCATCCACTCAGTTGACAGTTAGTGACACATTTAAACGGCAGGGACAGCAAGAAGTCAAAAGAAATAACAGTAAAGGTAATGGGATAGTAAATTAATATATAATGCTATACATCAGAGTTTCTGCTAGAAAGCTCTCCCGGATCACCTGTAGCTCCGACCGCGGTGACACACACTTCAGGTTAGACCTAACACACTTAGCTATTTTTTAGGGCTGTCAAGTTAACGCGTTAATAACAAAAAAAATTAACGCCACTAATTATTTTAACGTGATTAACGCATGTGCAATTTTTGTCCTCGGCCGCCCCGTAGTTTCAGAGCGCATCGAGTTTAAAATACCATCTATACAATCCAAGCACACTGCTGATGCCGACAGCCCCGCTCCTGCCGCCCGCTTGCAGCAGAAAACACTTGAAAGTGTGCGGGGGAGACGCCTGCACACTTCTACGAGCAGCAAACCTTCAACAAAGATTGCAAAATGGGAGGCGACAGCTTGCAGGCGTGATATAATTGATATAATTCGGGTCGCATCCAACGACGAAAATACACAACTTTTATGAAGTCCAAAAAGCGAAAGTAGAGGAAGATTTAAGAAAGACTCACCGGAGACTATTGGACTTCACTCAGTAATGACAGTTACCTCGGGGTCACAGCGCATTATTTTGACCCACAGTGGGAACTTCAGTCTCATGCTTTGACAGTTAACACACACACACACAAACACACACACACACACAC